AAAAAAATGAAATTAATTCATTTTCAAATTGTTTTAAAGGTATTGATGGTAATGTTGTAGTTGTGTTATTATTAGCAGTAGTTGATGATGAACGTAAACGTTGAGATAAACGTTTAGCTAATATACCTTGATCCACTTTAAGTTCAAGCTAGATAAAGATTGGTATAAAGAAAAGCATAGAATCAGATTTTGTCAATAAATTTTATTAGATCATGAAAAGGAATTTATTTTGGAAATGAAAGAAGATATTTATGGTAATTCTCGAGACAGTTCCATATTAAATAGACAACTGATTTATAAAACTATTATTTTTCCTAACTCACATTTAATTCATCATTGTTATTCATATTTTCTTCATCAGCCAATTTTATTTCAAGTCCACATTCATCAAGTATACGTGTTATAAACATATTTGTTTTCTCTGCACTATGTTGTGATTGTCGTGGTGGTGTTGAACTATATTCTTCAATTCTACCAAGTGATTGTGTTGATTGTTGCATTGCAACTTGTTGTGTTGCACGCATTTCATGCTGACGTAATAAACCTGTTTGACGATTCATTATTTCAATCTAAATTTTCATCGATTTATTTATTTCAACAAAAAAACAAATGATTTTTTTTATTTTTCGAATTTATATTATAAAATGCAAATAAAATTATTTTCTTTTCTTCTTATCTTTATCAACAATAGAAATATATATTAGCCGAAAAACTAATCCCACATGATGAACAAAAAAAAAAAAAGAAACACATATTTCTCATATTTACTACGTCTAACATAAATAGGTTTATTATGCAAAAAACAAAGTACACATAAATCGAGTTAGATATTCGTTTGAAGATATGTCAACTGAGCAATATCATGACTAGAATGTGAACATTTGACTAGATGCAACTCGCTTGATAACAAACTAAAATATGAATACATATATATATAGATATTATTTTTCAAGAATAAATTCAACTTTACCTCATATTACATCTATCGAAGTAAATCATTTATAAGAGAAAAGAAGAGATTCGAAAACTAAAACAATCACACTTGATTAAATATATCGATTGAGGTAAGAAAACAAAATTAATTAAAATTTATCCACTCATTTTTTTTTCTTCGAAAAATTGTATTCACTGGTTGCGAGGATATTTAAAATCAGTAATAAATAAATAAGTTTATGCACATATATGGAAGACCGATGAAGAAAAATGACAAAAGAATTAATCAAAACATCACTGTTGTGAATGCACGTTGAACAGGAAAATATAGTATTAAATCATTCTAAAAATGGAATAATGAATTTTTACGAATACAAAAAAGAAATTAGATTGTTACATTTATTCGTACTACTATTTCAATTAATGAGAAAATCTTTATTTAGATTCTATCTTTTAACTAACCGTATATCAATTATTAGCAGGAAGCAGGTATTGTAGATGATGATGATGACGTCGTATTGTTAACAACAGAAGCGGAAGAAGGAGTAGAAGGCGTTATGTGAGATGTAAGTTTTGAGGCAGTTAAAATCATTCCATCTCCACTTTCTAATGTAACATTATTTGCATGAGAAATTGTATCGTCATCTGATAAAGGCGTATCTTCATTAATATTATACATTTTTGATTGTTGTTGTTGTTCGAAAAGTTTTCGATTATCAAAATTTACTTCCTGATTTATCTTAGTATAAGGCTCATGTAAGATATTAGAAGATTGTAGTTGATTATCAATCTCAGATGTATGAATTGTAGCTGATTGAGTAGGATTATTATTTAGTTTCTCGGAAGATTCTGTCATTAAAGATGCTGATATAGTTGTTGGACGTTTAAATGGTCTTGATAATCGCGTCAAAAAATTATAGGGTGGTTGTCGTTGACGTTTCAATGCTTCTTCTTTCTGTTTTTGTGCTCGAGTTAATTTTGCTCTTTGATCAATAACTTGTTGTTGTAAAATAAGTTTTTGTCGATTTCCTTTTGAAAAGCGATTATGAAAACGTTCATCGACTTTTATATCCAATTGTAATGATGTTGTATCAATAAGTTCATTATTTTCATGTAAATGTTGTATATCATTATGTGTAATCATTTCTTCGCATGATTTCGATTTTTTAATATGATTACAATGTGACACTGTTCGCATATGTACAATAGATGACATGTTTCGTTTTGTACTTAGACGTACATGTTCACTTGGATGTAAAAATCGATAGTATAAAAATTGAAATAAAATAGCTAACCAAAAACCACAACAAACAAATGAGACAAGTGAATATTTAAATATTAAATTTGTTTCAGCTGAATGAATTGCATATATAATAGAAAACGCAATATTTTCTATATAATAAATTGTATAAAAACCAATATAATGTGTACGAGTATCACCTTTACGCAAATTCTGAGACAAAGAAAATAAAGAATAGAATTTAAATTAATAATATTTACCATATAGCAAAATATAAATATATATGAGCAAACAAGATTGTAACATTTTTCAAAAATAGCTTCTCGAGGATTGTATTTAGTTTGATCAGTAATACAAAAAATTGTACGCTAAAAAAATAATTTAGTTTGTGTTGGAAATCAAAATAAAACTTACAAAACGAAGAATCCAAAAAAGCATTCCACACCAATGCGCGACAATTATAATCCAAAACCATGAACGAAATGTTGCAGCAAACATCGCAAGCGCTAAAACTCTTGGAGTTATCAAAAATAGATACCAAATCTTAAAAGAATAAGAATTAGTTTTTAAAAAAATTAAATTTTTCTTTTTGAGTTTATACAAATTGTATGATTGTACTCCACCAAGATACCAATTGTGGTGATGGTTTACCTTTAGGCCAACCTTGTGGTGAATGTGTTAATTGCATATGTCGCCAACAACGTGAATAACCACTAAGTGCATAAGCTAATGAACCAAGTGATGAAACGATAGATAAGCATTGTTTCAAAAATAGAGTATCAACTACAAAAAAATAAAGATTTTTTGAATGTAAAATGAATTATATATACATTTCATTGATGTTGAACCGAGTCGTAACATAATATATAGTTGTAATGTTACTTGTGAACCTGAATCCATGAAACAATCAAAAACACGCAATAATGCAATATCAGCATCAATTAATATTTGTTTTGTTAGATAAAAACGTGCCCATTTCGGATTATTACGTTTTTGAAAACCTTTCCATGTATAATATAAACCACGAATATATCTATACAAAAATATATCGATTAAATTATTAATTATATGATAAATTTCTATTAGATATTAGTAAAATGTTTGTAGCTACTATTTTTTATCTTACTGTTATTCAGTCACAGAATGTTTTTAGAAATAATAAGTTAGATAGAACTATAGTAGAAAAATTACTCTCAAGAGATATAATTTTACAAATGAACTAGAAATGATGATTTGAATAATTATTTTACATATATAAGAATAAATTTTATTTTTTTTTCTTACTTTAAACATAAATCTAATTGAAGTACAAGTATAATAATTCGAATAATCCATGTTAAAACATTTGCAGTAGCAGCAGAAAATTGAAAATGTTTTCTTTTAGATATATATTGTTCTTGTTGCTGTTGTACATCTTTGTCTAATATTTGCGCTCGATTTCTTAAACGTAATATATGTTCATCTAATTGATCTTCTTCATGACAACTATCTGTATGACTAACTGAATTTTGTTTTTCATGTAATGGAATTAATTCTGAACCTTTACTATTTCTTCGTGGATCTTTTGTAATTACATCATCAGATACATTTGTTTCATACATAGATGTATCACATTGTGTGGTTGTTTGTTTTTCATCTCTAGCTGATTTTAATTGACTACCATCAATATACCACACAAGTGAAAAAATCGATAAAGTTAAATTGGGAACAATAACACACATTAAAGTTAATATAAAAAGCCAATAGGCACCTTCAACATAATAAGCATGAGCTAAAACAAGATCAGTAACCATATCAATAAAGAATGCAAATACACCCCAAGCATAAATAAAAACTTCAAATACATTGATTGTCATTTTATCAGGTATAAAATCAGCAACCATTGTACTAGCTGATGGTTGAGTAAAAAGATGTGGTTGAAAATCATCATCATCATTAGTTGTATTTGACATAAATTCAGCTGGATATGGTGAAAATGCTGTTGTTTCAGATAGGCTTGTTAATGTTGAACGACGTCTTTGCATTTGAATTTTTTCTTCTTCATTTAATGGAAAATGTACATGTTGTGGTTCATCTTCATCTATTGGTGTTAATTTATTCGATGAAGATGTCGGTGTACCATCAGGCATATTAGTAATTGTTTCATCACTTTCTTTAGGTGGAATTGGTTCAGGACAATGTGTTGTTCCTGTTACAGAAATAACTTCTTTACCAAGAAGACCTAATGGATTAGCACGATATAATTCTTGATGTGTTAAATCTTTTATTGATTGAAGAATATTAAAACCAATCGATGTTGTTGATTCAGCGCCTGATCCATTGGTTGAAGCAGTTTTCGAACGCAAACGATTTGATTCAATTGAAGAATTCGATTGAGCAATTCCAGATGGAACAGATGTTTCATCTGGTCGAATTATGATAGTTGTTAGTCCTTCTATAGAAAAAAATATCGATTATGCTTCCTTAATTTTATTTATAGATTAATTTAACATGTGAATCAACAATAGAACGGAACAGGATGTTTAGAATATTATTTTTAGTAAATCACCACTTATCTCAAACATATTAAGAATAAGAAGAAATTGATATATTTAGTACCTGGGTTTGATTCTGATCTTCCTGATCGTCGATCATCATTCGTTTGTTTTTTTTCACATTCATCTACTGTTGATGATCGATTAATAATCGATAATCGTCCATTAGTGGATTGTTGATTGGACATCTATTATATAAAAATAATAAATAGTAAACAGAAAAGGACCTTCACATTTTTATCATACCTCTTTTCAACATGATGTATAAACAAAAAACAAATTGAAAGACATAAAGAATGATAATAATAATAATAAATGAATAGAGAAATCAAAATGACATTTTATTTAATGAAAATAATAGTAATAAGTAAAAATGAACTCATGTTTATCTAGAAAAGAAAATTAAATGACAAGCAACAATACAAAAAACTTTGTTTTTTTATTATTATAATGCTTCGAATGTTTCATGTTTTAATAATGTTTGTAAATTACTTAATTTTTGTTTAAGAACATTTAACGAAGATAAAAGTATCTAAATAATTAATCAGTTTTATTCAAAAAAAAGTAATAAGATATTTAACTTACAGTTTCTGGTTTCAATGAACCAACAGATTCAACATTAAAATAGAATTTATTTGGAACTTTTGCTGGCTCAAATGTTGCTTCAGCTCTATCATCCGATAATTCTAAATGATATGTGATTATTTTAAAGATTTTTCGAAATTAATAAATCTTTACCAGTATATTCGGAATGTGGCCATTCTTCAGGTATTGGATAAACTGTATGACGAAGAGCATTATCTGGATCATATTCAAATGAAACACCCTGAGAGAAAACAACAAGAATTTTTAAGTTTAATTATTTATAAACTTACACAAGTTGGAATCCATTTTGCATGTTCTTTACCAAAACCTTTTCTTGCATAAGCTTTTAAGCGAAGTTCTTGATTTTGTCGAAGTTTTACAATGAGAATATCTAAATAAGATATCTATTTATTCATGAAGTTTTCGTGTTATTGTCCTTTTTTTTTGTCTCTCCCTCTCTTCTTAATGAATAGTTCATCGCCTGTCATCCTCTCGTTCCATTGAGACAGAAACATTTTTATGAATATATAAATTAGTCACGCACATGTCGTGAAAAAGAAACTTACGATCTACAAAAGTATCTCGTCCATCATCATCATTTTTTGCTTTAGATGTCACAGGTACTAAATGTGGATTACTTGTAACAAAGTCAGCTGAAGTAACCTATTATCACATATAAATAATAAATGATATTTATATGTTTGTTTTTCTCTTACATTTCTAGTTTGTCCTTCTCGATTTTTTACATCCAATGTAAATTCAACTGAACATTGAGGACAAAAACCTTCACAAGAACAATCACGATGATAATTCATTTTATCAACAACTTCTTCACTATATAAAGGAACTAAACCAATACGATGTGCAAGAAATTCATCAAATAAAACTGTTGTATTCGAATCAATTTGTACAGAATCAATAGCCATTATTGGTGTTTCAGCTATCATAGTACGACGTATAGCATTAGCTACACTTAAGTCTGTATTTTCAATAATAAATTTTATATTATCTTCTGTTAATTCAGATACTTGAACACTTGGTTGATTAGCATATGGCATTTCTATGGAAATAGATTATTGTTATATTTCTAAAAAAAATTAAATAGAAAATGAATAGTTAATCTGTCAAGGGAAAATGAATGAGGCAGACACAAAAAAAAACGATCGAACAACATAGCATATATTCATTTCAGTGTACTTGTACTTATTTGCGAATTCAAAATAACCAATAAGATATAAGTTTACTATGTCGCTCTTATACAGTTAACGAATAAAACATTATAGTTTGCACCCGTGATGGACAATTATTATCTTCGGAAAGATAGAAATAGAAAACAACATTATTCTTTCTCGCTGCGTTACATTTGATGTGAATGTCTATCTTTTTCTTTTCTTCACAATTCGTAAGAGCATAGTTGTTTAATGGATGCATGAAATCTAATCCATATCGATAAGGAGAACATGATGAAAGAGAGAGAGAGAGAGAGGAAATATAGACAATGATTACGAGAGGCGTTATAAAAATAATATATCTAATACTAGAAAAAAAAGAAAGAAAAGAAAGCGAGAAGTGTCTATTCAACAAATCACATTGTATTGTTTTTATTTTTGTCAAGATGTAACTAAAGGCAATGTCACTAAACGAAGTGTTGTAACTTCATGTTTCCGTTCCATTGATGTTCGATGCGAAGGAGGTCGTGGCCATTTTTCAAACTAATAAAAAACATTTGGTCATTTTTTTGAAATTCTTTTCATTTACTTACACTAGCTTGTAAACCTAATCGATCAGCAGCATATCCAAAATGCATTGAACTTGCAGTTTTAGAAAATCCAAAAACTGATTTCGATGGTGGTATTGATTCTTTCTTTGATACATCATTGTGTTCATTCATTGAACGAGTTTTTGATTTTAAAATTCGTCGTGATTTTTCTGTGCAATTTTTCGGTATATTTAATGTCGAATTTGAATATTTAGTTATATCAGAATAACGATTTGCAATATGTGATAACAAACGAATACTTAATCCAGTTCTTGGTCTTGATGTTGATTGAGTGCCTAGAGATAATTTAGGCTTCATTGTCGATTGTTTTTCATTTATATCTTTATCAACAATTTCATTCGTACAATCTGGTTTCGACAAATATTCTCGTGCATAATCTTCATAATTTGCAAGTTTAGATGAAGAAATAGTTGTTGATTTCTTTTTATCTTCATTTACATATCTAATATGAGGTGTGATAGATATAGATTGAAGTGGTGCTGATTTCATAAAATGTAATGGTAATAATGTTGATTCTTGTCTAGGTGTTTTTGGTGATGATGGAGGAGTTCGTGGTAAAAATATTTCTGATTCAGAATGAGATTGATCAAAAACAGATTGAGCACGAGGTTGTAATTGTTTTGGTAATCGAATTGATGAAGAATATTTTGTTGGAGTTTGAATAGAACGTTGATTTGGATTAGTTCGTGATGAAACTTTTGAAGGAATCTGGAACTAAAATTAAGTATATTCAGATTATAAATGAAGAAAAATTTTTTTATGTGATAGTCATTACAGTAGTATTAGGATTATTCTCTTCTTGAATTTCATGACGATATTTTCTGTAGGGTGTTGATATTCGATTTGATAATCTTTTATTATGGTAATATGATGTTGGATGACTATTAATCATTTTTATATCGGAATCATTTTCATGAAATAAATCTGTACAAAATATATGAAATGAACGTTGACATTGACATTTTGATGATATAACATCATGCGATGATGATCGTAATAGATTTGATGAAAAATTCTTTTGATTTTTCAATAATAATTTTACACCTTTGAATAAAATTAATAAATAAAATTTAATATTTAAGAGAATCTTGCTTACTAAAAGCAATAGATCGTTCTTCATCGTCAATACTCTTGACTTCATTATTATTATTATTCAAACATTTTTCATCGTTCCAATCACTTAAATCATTCAATCTCGTTTTCGGACTATAATTTAATTCATTTATTGAATTTGTTCTGTAAACAATTTTTTGTAACTTACCGTTTCACCACTATCATAACTATTCTTTCTTCTATTGTAAGACGAAAGCAGAATAATAAAGGTAAGAGAATTCAACAAGAATCTTATCAAATGAAAATTTGCAATATTTATTGTTCTCTTCCAATTTATTTCTTTTATAAAAAGAAAACAGACAACATATGTATTCATTTCTTTCGATAAGAATAAGTATTCGTCTTTCAATATATTAAATTTCATTTAATATTTCTCTTCTTCAAATACAATTATTATTCACATCATATTTACTTTTCATATGCATTAACAAAATTAACATATATTGGCCTTTTTATTTCCTACTTTTCTATTTTATATCCAATAAATATATATGTATTTATAGAGACTTGAATGAAAGGTTTACAACGGTACATGAAAATAATAGACTGCATAGACAGGATTTGGTATTCTTTGTTGTCTTATCTTAATACTAGTTCTTTTTTTTTGTTATTGTTCGGATACTATAAGAAAAATAAAAACGCACGCACACAGAAAAGTGGAGATATATCTTAATACTACACATGTATATAAAGGAGTATGTTCTATTTGTTTAAAACTTTTTTAATTGATTTAATGACGTTGGCAACTTGTGGCATGGAGTTTTGTTCTAATGTTTTAGCATATGCTAATGGAACATCAGCACCAGTGACACGTATTGGTGGAGCATCAAGATAATCGAAAGCATCGCCTAAAATAATAAAAAAACAATTATTACAGCTTAAACTAGGATGTTAAATATTAAAAAGAAATAGCGAAGTTTGAAATGTTAAACTAATTTCTGTGCTACTTAATTAATAAACTATAACTACTAACAGCAGTTGACTCCATTTTCTTATTTAATGAAATGGGTATCTTTCAATTATGTAAAAATGATGAGTCGAATTCTACAAAATATCGTATTGGATTAGTATTGAATACTACGTTGAAAATAAAATCTTACAAATTCTTCTTTATACGTTAATACATTTTCAACTCCTTTCTAGAAAAATCAGTGAAAATGTCTCCGGGTGGTACTACAAGAGTTGAATAGTTTTTATCATTATTAAGAAACATACTTTCGCATATTCTTGCAATAATTTCCGAACCAACACCACATTGTGGCCAACCGAATTCAACGGTAACAAGATGATGAGTTTTTTTTACAGATGTTTTAACAATGTCTTCATCAAGTGGTCTTAATGTTCGTAGATTAACAACCTAAATCAACAACAAAAAAAATGAAAACTATGAAAAAACAAAATTAAATATCAATAAACTTCGCAATCAATTCCACTTTGTTCAAGTTCTTTTGCAGCTTCCAAACATAGTTTAACACCAATTGAATGAGAAGCAAGGGTAATATGTTTGCCTTCACGTTCAATTTTACCTTTACCAATAGGCAAAACAAAATCAGCAGATAATGCTTCATCGGAGATAGGAAATTGTTGACCATAAACTAGTTCATTTTCCAAAAAGACAACTAAATAATAAAAAAGTAATAAGTAAAATGAAAATAATAAAATAGTAATAAGCAAAACAAAAAAATCAACAAACCAGGATCATCATCACGAATAGCAGCTTTAAGTAAACCACGACAATCTTCAGCTGAATAAGGAGAAATTACTTTAAGACCAGGACATTGACTGTACCATGTTGCAAAATCTTGAGAATGTTGAGCACCTACACCTATATTTCATAATAGAAGAAATTTTTTATTCATTCATAATCTATTGAACTAAAGATTCTTACCAGCAGCTGCTCCATTTGGTCCACGAAAAACAATTGGTACTTTAACCTAAATAATATTTTTCATTAAAAAAAATATTTTTTCTAAAAATAATATTTATCTTACTTTTCCGGCTGACATATAATATGCTTTAGCAGCTGAATTGATGACATGATCAATAGCTTGCATTGAAAAGTTAAATGTCATGAATTCACATATTGGGCGAAGACCGGCCTTTGTATTTTTTAAAAATAAAAACAATATTTATATAGTTTTAAATAGAATTTTTTATTTACCATAGCAGCACCAGTTGCTATTCCAGCAAAACCCATTTCAGTAATTGGTGTATCAACAATACGTTTATCACCATGTTTTTTCCAAAGACCTTTTGACATTTTATATGCACCGTCATATTGTGCTACTTCTTCACCCATTAAAAAAACTCGATCATCTCGTGTAATTTCTTCGTCCATTGCTTGAGTTATGGCCTCACGAATAGTAATCTATATAAAATACGTATATATTAAAGAGGAAAGAAACAAATATTGATACATACAGTTTTTTCAGCAAGAGCTCTTGATGTAACAGAAAATGATCGACGGAGAAGTATTATTGAACTGTGGCACTAAATTATTCGAATAATAAACAAAACAATATTGGAAAAACATATATATTACTTTGACAAGATCTTTGACTGATTTCATGATGAAAAATCGATCGACTTTCGTATATTCAGATCTATAATAAAAGAAAACTAGTTTTTAGCTTAAACTAATTCCTTCATACACAATATTGTTTACTCCAAAAACTATAGTATTTAGCGTTCCACTCTATTCAGTTTCTTAGCAGGTATAAGTAGCACTTTTTCTGATTGGACATTAATGAACCATTTAATAATTGTCGCTAGTTGTTACTTATTTTACTTAGAACTTCTATAGTGCTTGTGCTATATATATATGCAATTTTATGTACAATATTTCAAATTGTTTTATGTTATGTACAAGATAATTTAAACTTTCACATTAATTAGTAAAAATTTTAAATTCATTGAGATGAATATTCAATAACTTTTGTATTTTTAAGTTGGATTAATTGTAATTTGTAGGGTACGCTAAATACTAATACATTTGTTTTTTTTACAATTAGTAGAGTTCGTTAGTTTACAATTTACAGAAATCATTATATATAGTTTTACTCAATTTTGCTTGATATAATTGTAATTTGTAGAGTTCGCTGAATAACAGCAGTAAAAAAATTATTTTTTTTTGGTATCGACCAGAATGGAACCGAAGTTTGGGTATACTGCAATAAATCGTGTGGAGTGTCTATAGTTTCACAAAATCGAAACATTAAAAGGTATCCAAAAACTTATCCACGCACTGGTGTTGAACATACATCCAAAATAACAAATGTTTTGGGAAAAGTAGATGAGGAAACTAAACAAGATTTACCAAGGAAATCTAATACAATTCGTTAGTTTTGATTTGCATATGTCTGATGTTCATCTTAGTGTATATTCGATTTTATAACAGAAAAGAAAAAAAAGAAACAGTTCAAAATATACGTCTTTAATTATATATATCGTATACACTCCTGTGTTTCTGTTCGTCAAAATCTGATGTACTAATACCTGCCACTTGATAATCTTTGTCTATAAAAGTAAAAAACTTCTGTTTTATGGTAAATTTACGCACTCATCTATATTTAATATTGGATAATATTATCTACATATTTCAAATGCTGCATTGACGTCAAAACTATTTATAAATTTTGTATGTACTTTT